GTGTGGTTTTCAAGCCACCAGGTCTAGGACTTGAACTGTGGTCGTGTGGAAGTCCAGCGCCCTTAACCACCACACCACCTGCCGGCCCCCCTTCTTAAAAATATTTTAATATAGGGAAGCTGGTAGGTGGCATGGGGGCAGGGCTGCAAGACTCCCACATGGTTGATTGTGGTTTGAGTCCTGGACCTTGTGGCTTGCTTTCTCACCTTCCCTCTCTCTGGTCAAATTAAGTAATAATAGTAATAATAAATTAAGTAAAAAAAGTCTTAAAAACTATTTAAATAAAGGACCGATCCAAAGTGCAGTGGTTAAGCCCTGTGTGTGGGGAGATGGATCCTACACAGCTGACTATGGTTGGAGTCCTGGGCCCCAGCAGTTTGAAAAACACTTCACACACATGTGCATACATGCCCCAAATCCTGATGGGATGAAGAAATGGAGGAAAAAGGACTGTGGCATGACCATGCCTCTTTGCAGGGCGCTTTCTCTGTCTTTCTCTCTCTGGTGAGTACATGTGCCTTCTGGGAATTAAATAAATAAATACATACATACATACATACATATATTTAGTATTAAATATATATATTTAAGTATACTGAAGGGCAGCCCTTTAGTGCAGCAGTTAGGTGCTACGCATAGGGAACCAGATTCCACATGGCCAACCACAGTTCTAACCCCATCCACAGTGGCTTGAGAAACACACCAGACGCATATGCATATACCCCCAAATCCTGACAGGAAAGACAAATAGAGGAAAGCAGATTGCGTTGCGACCATGCCCCATTGAGGGGTGTTTTGTCTATCTCCCTCTTTCTGACAAATTCATGTGTCCTCTAGCAATGCCAGCTAAAAAAATTTTTTTTAAAGTTTTTTGCCATAGGGTGCATTTGCTTGCAGGAGAGACACACAGAGAGAGAGAGAGAGAGAGAGAGAGAGAGAGAAATCACTCTCAAGAGGGGACGGCATGACCAGCAGTTAGCGTAATGGCTATGTCGCTAGACGCCCACGTAGTTGACCGCGGTTCGCATCCCAGACCCGGTGGCTTAAAACTCACGCCGGGCACATGTGCGTGCGTGCCCAAGATCCCAAGAGGAGAATGGAGGAGAAGGGATTGCGGCGTGACCATCCCCCATGGGGGGTGATTTCTTGCTTTCTGTCTCTCTGTCTCTCTCTCTGTCTGTCTGGCGAGTGCACACGCCCTATCGCGAAAACCTCTCAAAAAAAAAAAAAAAAGTTCCCATGAAACAAATACCAAATCAATAAGAAAGTCGATGAGAAAAAACATAGTGTCCTCTGTTATAAGTTAGCCTCATCACTTTCTACTGGTATTAAACGTAGAGCAACAGCCAGGGCCCTCTTGGCTCAGGAAGCAGATGTCCAGGTTGGAAAATGTTTGGGACCAGACGTGTTTTAGATTTCAGATTGGGTGTGGGGGGGATTTCAGATTATTTTTACATACATAATGAGATATCTTTGGGATGGGACCCAAGTCTAAACATAAAATTAATTTATGTTTCATACATACCTTATACACACAGACTTAAGGTAATTTTATATATTTTGATATCTCAAGTGTTTTGATTACAACCTACCACATGACACCAAGTGTGGAATTTTCCACTTGTGGCATCCCATTCGTGCTCAAAGTTTTCAGATTTTGAAACATTTTGGATTTCATATGCTCCGATTAGGGAACTTCAAGCGACACTTAAAAACATCTTTTGGGGGCCAGCAAGTGGTGTGGTGGTTAAGGGCACTGGACTCCCACATGGCAAACCGCAGTTCAAGTCCTGAACTCGAAGGCTGCTTTCTCACTTTCCCTCTCTCTCTCACTCTGTCCCTTTCTGGAAGGAAGGAAGGAAGCGAAGGGAAGGGGAGGGGAGGGGCAAGGAAGGAAAGGGAGGGAAGGGACTACGTTGCTGGACTCTCATGCAGTTGGGCAGTTTGAGTCCTGGATCTGGTGGCTTAAACTCAGGCCGGGAGCATGTGTGTGAGTGCCCAAGATCCTGAGAGGAGAATGGAAAAGAAGGGATTGTGGTGTGGCCATCCCCCCCGGGGGGTGATTTCTCACCTTCTGTCTCTCTATCTCTGTCTGTCTTTCTGGTGAGCATGCACACCCTATAGCAAAAACCTCTCTCAAAAAAAAACTTTTGCTGCCCCTTAAGCCATAAGAAGCCCCCACAGTCATCAAAACCATCTAGCAAGTGCCTAATAAGTGGTAACCCTTCCAAAAATCCCTATATCTGGGCCCCAGGGTACTCACCAGTCATCCCTAGGTAGTCAGTCAGCTCTCGGCCTGACAGGCCCTCTAAGGCCTCCAGCATCCAGACAACAGTAGACTTGCAACTCTCCACTAGTTGGGCCAGGTCAGTTAAATCAGTTACCTGAGGAACAAGAAAGGGTTGAGGCTACGTGGAGTTATGCTGGCTCCAAGGTGACCTCCACCCCACCCCACATCCAAAGCCACCTCAAAACTCTACGGAGCAATTCCAGACCCTAGGACCTTGTTCAGGTTCCTTGACTCCCAGATGGTACCTGACAGCCTTGGGCAAAGTCATAAACCACCACAGTGTAGAGGTGAAGTCCCTGAAAGTACCCCTGGAGCAAAGACTGCTGCTGCTTGGAGAAATCCCCACGGACCTGAGGAAGGAAGCGGGTAGGTGAGTCACAGAGAGAAACAACGAGCTCCAAGCCAAAGACTGGCCCCAATTCTGGAGAGTGACAGAGCCCAGGGAGAAGGAAGAACAGGAGCTGCTGCCTTCTCAGGATAGACCAGCCTGCTTGCTGGCTGGCCAGGCAGGCCAGAGAGCAGCTTACCAAGGAGGGAGCCAGGGCTTCCAGATCTTGCCAAAGACCTGGGCTGGTAGTGAGTCCACAGAACCACATCCCCTCCCTACCTTTAGTCCTTAACTCACACCATCATCCCGCAGCTGCTGGATAAGAGAGAAGTACCCTCGAAGGAAAGCAAAGAGGCTCAGAATAGCATTAAGCCCATAGCGCCTCTTGATGCCTCGATCCAGGCCTGAGAGGAAGAACTGGCAGCAGTCATACAATGCCCGAAGTGGGGGTGATGGTGCCTCCATACTGCTGTTCAGGACAGCTGATGCTTTGATCAGAAGTTTGGCCACTGCCTGGGGTCTTTCCTCCCCAGTCTGCTGCAGCTCAACCCCCAGCTGGCATAGCTTAAGGCTGGGGGCTAGACTGGTGTTCCTTAGATAAACATGAGCCTTCTCCACTGTGCTGGTGGCTTTGTTGAGGTGGTGTCTCCAACAGAGGTGACGGCAGTGTTCCAAGGTGAGCTCCAAGAGGCAGAGGGCCTTCTGTGGAGAAAGAGGTTCAGGAGAGCCCACTCCCTCACCCACCAAGGCTCTGATCACATGTCTGGAGAGCAGATCATCTAGGAAATCAGCATCTGCTTCACTCAGACTATGCCCACCGGCATCAAATAGCTGATGGGCAGCTACCACTCGACAGGCTGTTGGAGAAGCAAAGTGAGGAATCTCACAAGGGGTACTTCCATCCTCCAAAAGTACTAAGAAGCTCAAGGCCTTTAGCCGAGCTGAGACTGCAGCTCGCCGCTCCATCAGGGCTTCTGCGCCCTTCCAAAGCAGAGAAAAGCTGCCCCGAGCAACAGCGTCATAGTCCTGGGGGGCAGCTTGGCGAGAGCACTGCATCAAACAGGCATGGAGGGGCTGAGCAAGGTGGAACATGGCCTCTGGGCTTCCCTGCCCAGCAACGTTCCGCAGCAGGATGAAGAGAATTCGTTCTAGGTAGAGGGGAGGGCGCTGGGGGGTGGACAGCAAGTAGCCATCACAGGCCAGCTTTGCCAGCTCCAGCAGGCTCTCTAGGTGTCCAGGGCAATCTAGCTTGGCAGTCAGCTGCTGGTTGCAAGCCCTCAGGATGGCATCACAAGCTTGTCTCTTCTCAGCATCAGATCGGCAGCTGGGTAAACCAGCTGAAGGCCTGGACAGGAACTCCTAGGAGAAAAAGAGAGAAAGGGATGGAAAAGAACTAGATAGAAATAGGGTGGCTCAGGAGAGGGTCCCCTAATTATCTAGTTCTTTAAAGTATGGCAAAACACAAATGAAACCGCTCAGCCTGTAAAGCCAGGTGTATCCCCAGCCAGACTGCACTTCACCTTCAAATCAGGCAGCAACTCTTTCGTCTCTTTTTGGCTGCTTAGCAGAGTCCCAAAGTTGAGTCCTTTGAAGTTCCTCATGGTGCCAGAGAACTACCTGAAAGAGAAGGATTAGGGAAGGTGGAGAACATTCGTAATGCAGCTACCTGGAGGAAGGAAGGGCTTGAGGTCGTGGAAGAAGGCAAAGAATCCCATCAGAAACCTTACCGGGAAAAAACGCATGCCAGGACGCCGGGCTCCCTTTATAAACTGACGTTTCAGCTCTTCCCTCCTCCTGGCAGATCCCTGTCCTCACTACCTCACCACTCCGCCACCCCCCACCCTCAAGCGTCCACCGAGCTCTTCGGGGGCCCTAAGGTCTCTGACCTTCCCTCGCAGAGTCGCCTCCAGCCTTTCGCTCAAGTCAGCGCAAGACACTCGGTTCTCCTCGGTGCGTACACACGCTCATGAGTCCCTCTCGGCCCTAACTTCCCAGACGTCGCCTTCCTTCCCAGGTTCGGGACTTACCCGCCAGACTGAGTACTCCACAAGGCTCCAAAAGATAACCTTCGTTTTCCGCGCCAGCCCCTCCTTTCAAATATTACCAGCGGCCAATCAGCGAGAGCTGCGTAACGCCGGCGGGCCGCGCGGCGCGCTGGGAGTTGTAGTTTACCGCCGCTCGATGGCATCACGTGTCGCCAGGCTCCAGCGTCCTGTTGCTCTGGATGTTAAGGGCTTTTGAGGGCTTAGGTTTCCCCACTTTTCCCGGCGGTGGCTGAATTCCTCATTACCCTAAGCCCAGTAGCTATGAGGAAGATCGCCCCTCCCACCCCACCCCCGCCTTCTCTTCATCTACTGAGCTCAGACAGTCTAACTCTGAAAAGAGAAGAATTAGACTAGATGGTGAAAAACTTGGAAACATCCAATTTGGGCTACTAGGAAGAAAGAGCGTAAGCTTCTATGGAATTCATAGAAGTATAGTTTCTTGGGGACACTGATGAGTCTTTTGGCCACCTCCAGCTCTGTCATTGCCTTCTAGGCTGGCTGCTTCCATCAGCTGTATGAGGACAGTATCTATTAATAGTAGAAGGTGAGGGAGGAAGAACTAGGAAAATGTGTTCATTCTCTGGGTTATCTGACAATCTTTAATGGCTTATGTTTGGAAAGTACTATCAATACTTTCCTCAAACATGCAGATTCAGCTGACCCTGTTTCTCTTTCCTTCCTACAGCAAAGAATTCAATTCAAAATTGCTCATCCGGTTAGTTTTTCTCTGATAAACTCTGCTGGATTGCTCATGCTTCATCATCATGGCGCTCTTTTTACTTTTTTTAGTTTGCTATACAGTGTATGCACATGCCAGGAAGAGGGGAAAAAATAGAGAGAGGGAGAGAGCACTGCCTGAGGAGATTGCCACAATCCCTTCTCCATTCTCCGGCCACACTGTAATCCCTTCTCCATTCTCCCCTCCTTATTTTGGGCTGCACACACATGCCCAGTGTGTTTCTCAAGCTGCCTGGTTGAGAAACATGGTTGGCCAACACATAGTTAGCCATGTGGGAGCCACCCGGCTTAACCACCACACCACCGGCTGACCCCATAGAGCTCTTTTAGGAGCTGAGACTCTACCAGGGAGCACTGCTAGATCCTTTTATTTTTTTTTAGAATTATTTATTTGTAGGCAGTTAGTATGGTGGTTAAAGGTGCTGGACTCTCACATGGCAAACCACAATTCAAGTCCTGGACCTGGTAGCTTGCTTTCTCACTTTCTCTCTCTGTCTCTCTAATCAAACTGGAAAATAATAATAATAAATAAAATGATTCTTTAAAAAAATAAATTACTTATTGGCAGTAATTCTACAATTTTTCAAAATAATTATGTATTTATTTCCATTTGTTACTATAATTTTTTAATTTGACCAGACAGGGACAGAGACAGAGAAAGGGAAAGTGAGAAAGCAAGCCGCCAGATCCGGGACCCAAACCGCAGTCAGCCATGTGGGAACCCAGTGTCTTTTACCACTACACCACCTTCTGATCCCTATTGACAGTAATTCTAATTAAAAATTATTTATTGGCGGGACCAGCAGCTGGCATGGTGGTTAAGGTGCTGGACACTCCCACATGGCCGACCAGGGTTCGAGTCCTGAATCTGGTGGCTTGCTTTCTCGCTTCCTCTCTCTCTCACTCTCAACGTCTGTCTCTCTCTGGTCAAATTAAAAAAAAAAAAAAAGAATGAATAAATAAAATAATTATTTTTTAAAAATTATTTAGTGGCTGCTGGGCCATGAGGGAGTCCAGTGCCCTTAACCATCACACCACCTGTCGGCCTCCAGAGATGTAATTTAAAAAAATTATTTAACACAAGCTAAATCAGTCTTGGTATAAGTTTGATTAAATCTGGGGATTTTAAATCAGACTACAGATTAGTTTAGAATATTTAGCAATTCTCAATCATTATAGACAAATGCATATCATTTGAATAGAAATATTGATCACTAAGGGACCAGCAGATGGCATAATGGTTACATCACTGGACTCCCACATAGTCGACCACGGTTCAAGTTCTGGACCCAGCAGCTTAAAATTCACACAAGGTGAATGTGTGTGGGTGCCCAAAATCCCAAGAAGAGAATGGAGGATAAAGGATGGTGGCACGGCCATACCCCTGGGGGATGATTTTTCACTTTCTGTCTCTCTCTCTCTCCAGTGACCGTATGTACCCTATGGTAAAAAAAATCACTCTATTTAAAAAAAAAAAAAAAAAGAAGAAATATTGCTGATTAAGCAAATAATTTGGTGCTGTGTTACTTTTAAAAGCAAAGTGAAGACAGCTGTTGCTCTCAAGGAGCCTATAGGCTAGTGGGAGACAAACTAGTAATTAAACTATGTAATAGGGCCTTCCTGTGGCATGGTGGTTAAAGGCACCGGGTTCCCACATGGTCAGCTGGGGTTCAAGTCCCAGACCTGACAGCTTGCTTTCTTGCTTTCCCTTTTTCTCTCTGTCTCTGTCTGGTCAGATTAAAATAATAATAAATGTAATTAAATTTTTAAAAGTATGTAATAAATGTGACCTTTCCTCTTCCCCTGGAGCCACCACCATGAAGGTCAAACTGTGCAGTTTCAGCAGGTACATGATCTATCCCGGTCATGGGAGGCACTATGTCAGGATCAACAGGAATTTTCCAGTTTTTTAATACAAAATGTGAGTCAGCCTTCCTTTCCAAGAGGAATCCTCAGCAGATAAACTAGACTGTTCTCTACAGAAGAATGCACAAAAAGGGATAGTCAGAAGAAATTCAAAAGAAAAGGACCTGCTGTGCAGTCAGATTCCAGGGGGCTATCACTAGTGCGACTCTTGCTGATATCATGGCCAAGAGGGACCAAAAACCGAAGTTAGCAAGGCTCAGTGAGAACAAGCTATCAAGAATGCCAAGGAAGTAAAAAAGGCTAAGCAAGCATCTAAAAAGACAGCAATGGCTGCTGCTAAGGCTCCCACAAAGGCAGCACCTAAGCAAAAGATTGTAAAGCCTGTGAAGGTTTCTGCTCCCAGAGTTGGGGGAAAATGCTAATTTAGCAGATCAGGATTTTCTTAAGAATTTATTTTATTAATTATCATTATTACTTAATTTTATTAATTATCATTATTATCATCATTTTAAAATTTGACCACAGAGCAACAGAGAGAGGAAAAGTGAGAAAGCAAGCTGCCAAGTCCAGGACTCGAACCATGGTTCACCATGTGGGAGTCCAACACCTTAACCACTATGCCACTTGTCGGCCCCAGCAGGTCAGATTTTAAAATAAAGGTCTAACTATAAAAAAATGTAATAAATGTTATGATGGAATTAGCATAGGGACTTAGTGGGAGGAAAGGCTCTTCAAGGTACAGACAACTGACCCAGCTACTTGGAACCTGATATTTAATGGTGAATTTACTCATGATCTTGACTTTAAAAAGTTGACCTAGATATGTATGTAATATCACTGGTAACACTTATATTTCACAAATTAAAAACTAATTTGTATGATAAAAAAATATTTATTTAGTTTTGAGAGCTTTTTGCTTTAGGGAGCATGTGCTTGCTGGAAAGACAGAGACAGAAAGCAAGAGATCACCTCCAGGCAGGATGGCCATGCTACAATCCTTTCTCCTTCAGTCCTCTCTCAGGATTTTGGGCATGCGTTTGGCATGAATTCCAAGCTGCCAGGTCCAGGACTTAAACCTTGGGAGTCCGGGACCTTAACTACCATACCACCTGCTGACCCCAGGAAGCCTATTGTTTAAGAAAAAAGAAAGGGAGTGAGGGGAAGAAGAAAAGAACAAATAATAACATCTCTAAAGAATCTCAGTGTTAGAATAGTAATGCGTGTTTTTGTTTGTTTGTTTTATTTTTTTAGAGAGGCATTTTGCTATAGGGTGTGTGTGCTCTCTGGAGAGACAGAAACCAAGAAATCACCCACTGGGGCATGGCCACACCACAATCCCTTCTCCGCCATTCTCCTCTCAGGATTTTGGGTATGCATTCATGCATGCACCTAGAGTGAGTTTTAAGCTGCCAGGTCCAGAAATCAAACCAGGATCTCCTCTCAGGATTTTGGGTATGCATTCATGCATGCACCTAGAGTGAGTTTTAAGCTGCCAGGTCCAGAAATCAAACCAGGATCTACTACGTGGGAGTCCAATGACATAACCATTACACCATCTGCTGGTCCCTTCTTTTGCTTTTTTAGGTTTTTGCCATAGGGTGTGTCTGCTTGCCAGGGAGAGACAGAGAGAGAAAGTGAGAAATTACCTCCCAAGGGGATGGCCACGAGAAGTTTTTTCTACAGGGTACATGTGCTCACCAGAAGGACAGAGAGAGACAGAGAGACAGAAAGTGAGAAACCACCCCCAAGGGGGGATGGCCATACTGCAATCCCTTCCTTCTCCTCCACTCTCCTCTCAGGATCTTGGGCACACACACCTGGTGTGAGTTTAAGCCACCAGATCCGGGATTCAAACTGCAGTCAGCCATATGGGAATCCAGCGCCCTTAGCCACCATGACACCTGCTGACCCTGACTGGTGTAATTAAAAAAAAATTTTTTTTATTTAACTTTATTTAATTTTTAAGAATTATTTATTTTTAAACTTTATTTATTCATCATGTATTTTTTAATTTGACCAGAGAGAGAGAAAGGAAAAGCGAGAAAGCAAGCCACCATGTCCAGAACTTGAACTGTGGTCAATCATGTGGGAATGTCCATCACCTCAACCACCACGCCACCTGCTGGTCCCCTTCATTTATTTATTTTTAATTTGATCAGAGAGAGACGGAGTGAGAGTAAGAGAGAGAGAGAGAGTGAAAAAGGAAACAGCCAGTCCAGGACTCAAACCATGATCAGCTATGTGGAGTCTAGCTCCCTTAATCACCATACCACCTATCAGCCCCTGCCCAGGACTCCAACTGTGGTTGACCTTGTGGGAATCCAGTGTCTTAACCACCACGCCACCTGCTGGCCCCAGGAATGATAATGCTTAATGCAGGTGCCAAATGTGTGG